TGTGAGTTTTCGTGGAAGGGTGTGACCCCAGCAGCATGGCGAACTTTGATGTCTCACCATGAAGGAACAAATTAGTGTAACTCACTGAAATCCAGTCTGATCAGTACCAGACTTTACAGGCATGATGTCAGACCCGCCCTGAACAGATTGATGTGCCCATTGTCAGAAATACACAGAACGCCACCTAGTGGCAACACGAAATGTCATGTCTTTCATTTTGTTGTACTGATTTTCACAGGTTCATCATGGCCACCTCAAAAGCGGTGAATATCACCATCAGTCCCTCATGATGCTTCAGTGAGAAAATTGTGACTTTAAACTGAACGGCGCACCCTGGTGGTAACGTAGTTCACCATGAAAAATGAAGTGGCTTTTGAGGGGCTTGGAAAGTTTAAAAAGTCTTGAAATTTGGCGCACACCTCCAATGTGACGAACGTTTTGTTGTTATGTGATCATTTTCATTGAATAGCGCGAAATTGCTCCACAGCGCCCCCTAAAAAATTTCAAAACATTAGTAATGGTTAGAGCGCCACCTACTGGGACGACTACAATCACGATTGAATGAGATGAAATTTTAGCTGGTGGTTAAATGCATGAATTCCATCAATGTGACATCAGATCGGACGTGCTGGTTTTAGGTGTTGGGCGTGGCTCAACACGTCGGGGTGCGAGGGCCCTCATAATGCTGCTTGCAGCTTTAATTTTATTTTATTTTTTTAAAGCTTATATTTGTAATAATAGAAGTAAAAATGATTTTAAAAAATCAGAAAAATAACAGTTTTTTTTTAAATTGACCACTTTATTAGGTACACTTGGTCTGCTGCTTGTTAGTGCAAATATCTAATCAGCCATTCATATTGCAGCAACTTAATGCATTTAGATAGGTAGATATGATCAAGACAACCTGCTGAAGTTCAAACAGCATCAGAACGAGGAATGTGATGAAACCCCAAAAAGTTGATTCTGTTCATCTGGACGTAGCATTTTCAGGTGGATAAACATTTCAGCCCTCCCACTGAAAATGCAACGTCCAAATGAACAGACTCAACTTTTTGGGGTTTACTGACCTGGATGATTAAGCATGCATCAAGAATGTGATGAAAGTGACCTTGGCCGTGGCGTGGTTATTGGTGCGAGACAGGCTGGTATTTCAGAAACTGGCAATCTATCAGGTTGATAAGCAGCAGAAGAACAAACCAGGTGCCATTCCTGTGAGCTAAAAATACAAAAGTGAGGCTTCAGTTCACACTGATTCACCAAAACTGCACAATAGAAGATTGGTGAAGTGCTGCCTGATCTCAAGAGTCTCCGTTTCTGCAACATTCGGAGGGTAGGGTCAAAATTCGGTGTAAACAACATATGGCCGGCAGATCTGTATGATCTTAGCAAAATCCCTGAGGAATGTTTCCAGCAGGCTTTTGAATCTATTTCATTCAACTGGGTACTAGGTGATTTTTTTTAAGGCCCAAGCATCCCTCACTAATATGATGCTGAATCAACAAATGTGGAAGTGAAGTCAGAATCAAAATCAATCAGATGTCAGGTGGCCTTGAGATGTTTTATTGAAGCAAATCCAACCAGGATGTAAGGTGATCATAAAGATTGTGACTATCATAACTATAGAAATCTTTAAGCAGTCGTGTTCAAAGTTCAAGGTGCTCCTCTTCCAGGACTGCAAAACACTCACGCTGTTATTTAGTGCATATAAATCAGCTCATTATACTCTGTTCATACTCTGTTCAGTAAAATGCACAAGTTTACATGTTGTTCCATTAAATTTGCTGCTTTTTTGTGTCATGAGTTTCGCCAACCTCATTTTCAGTAAGAATTTTTTAGTTTAGTTTTATTTAAATGTATACAGTGGTATGCAAAAGTTTGGGCCACCTTGATAATTTTCATATTTAAATATATCATATAGCAGATGAACACAATGATATTTGAGAAGTGAAATGAAGTTTATAGGATTTACAGAAAGTGTGCAATAGTTACTTAAACTAAATTAGGCAGGTGCATAAATTTAGGCACCCCCACAGAAAAATTACATCAATATTTAGTAGATCCTCCTTTTGCAGAAATAACAGCCTCCAAACACTTCCTATAGCTTCCAATGAGAGTCTGGATTGTGGTTGAAGGTATTTTGGACCATTTTGTTTTTACAAAACATCTCCAGTTCAGTCAGGTTTGATGATTTCCGAGCATGGACAGCTCGCTTTAAGTAACACTTAAGATTTTCAATAATATTCAGCTCTGGGGACTGAGGTGGCCATTCCAGAACGTTGTACTTGATCCTCTGCAGGAATGTCTTAGTAGATTTTGAGCAGTGTTTAGGGTGGTTGTCTTGTTGAAATATCCAGCCCCAGTGCAACTTCAACTTTGTCTCTGATTCTTGAACATTGTTCTCATGAATCTGCTGATACTGACTGGAATCCATGCAACCCTCAACTTTAACAAGATTCCCAGTACCTGCACTTGTCACACAAACCCCACAACATGATGGAACCGCCACCACATTTTACTGTGGCTAGCTCTTGGAATGCTGTGTTCTGTTTCCGCCATGCATACCGCCTCTTGTTATGTCCAAATAACTCAATTTTAGTTTCATCAGTCCACAGCACCTTATTCCAAAATGAAGCTGGCTTGTCCAAATGTGCTTAATCATACCTCAAGCGACTCTGCTTGTGGCATGTGCGTGGAAAAGGATTCTTTTGCATTACTCTCCCATACAGCATCTCCTTGTGAAAAGTGCGCTGAATAGTTGAACGATGCACAGTGAAGCCATCTGCAGCAAGATGATGTTGCAGGTCTTTGGAGCTGGTCTGTGGGTTGACTATGACTGTTCTCACCATCCTTCGCCTCTGCTTATCTAAGATTTTTCTTGACCTGTCACTTCCAGCCTTAACTAGAACTGTGCCTGTGTTCTTCCATTTCCTCACTATGTTCCTCAAAGTGGAAACTGACAGCTGAAATCTCTGAGATAGCTTTTTGTATCCTTCCCCTAAACCATGATGTTGAACAATATTTGTTTTCAGGTCATTTAAGAGTTGTTTTGAGGCTCCCATGTAGCCACTCTTGAGAGAAGATGCAAAGAGGAGAACAACTTGCAATTGGCCACCTTAAATACCCTTTCTTATGTATGTCAAGGGTCAATGAGCTTACCAAACAAATTTTATGTTCCAATAATTAGTGCTAAAGGTATTCAAATCAATAAAATGACAAGGGTGCCTAAATTTATGCACCTGCCTAATTTAGTTTAAGTAACTATTGCACACTTTCTGTAAATCCTATAAACTTCATTTCACTTCTCAGATATCATTGTGTTCCTCAGCTATATGATACATTTAAATAAAATTGCAGATCCAACCAACTGAAGATTTATGAAGGAAAATCATGAAAATTAATCAAGGGCGCCCAAACTTTTGCATACCACTGTAAATGTGTGTTGGTTGCATTCTAGGATAATATTGGAGTATTTAAACTCAATACATATTCATTAATACAGTTAAATGCATGACATTTAAGCTTATTTTTCTAGAAATGGAACAGTTTAAGTGAAAATATGTTCACAAAAATTCTCAAGTCTCATACTTTGGAAAACCCACATTAAATAGAGATGTTTGTTCACCATTAATTGAAAGTGTTTGGTCTTCCAGTGTAATAAGTTTCTTAAAACAAGCTAGTTGCAGCTGCAGCAGCTCATCCTTTTGATCATGGGGGCGTTAAAATATCCAAACTGACTGTTGTATTATTGGACTGCACAGCTGAGGTCTTTTGTGTTTTCTGACAGATGAATTTCCTCACTAGGTGTGGGCTCTTATTTTCTGAAACTATGTGTTCCCATGTTTTTATACTCTGACACAAGAAAGGGTGGTCTGATAGTAGAAATGTAGCTGGTTTCCTGGAGACATCTATGCAGTAACAGCAGCCTCAGTCCCACTCCCTGTGAAGCGCTCCCAAGATCTTAAACTCCACTCTGAATTTGGGATCTAATTTCCATTTGTTAGCCTCAAACGAGTTTGTAATCAGCATTGAAATACCTAATGATAATCTTATGGATCTGACAGAGTGATAAATGCAAAGTGGTACTCACTGATCCATTTTAAAGAACATTGTTATTTTGAAATTGTCTACAAATTGTCAAGGACTGAGTTAAGGTTGTGTAAGGTGACTAGTATTTGCATCTTATACTCTGTGTTGTCAACAGTGGGTAGAACCACATGGTGCTTTTCTCAAGAGTTGTGGCTTCGTGGCATGACTTGCAGGCTGAAAACTTCCTCACTATGCACAAAATCAACCAATTGTGTTCAGTCTCAGTGTTTTTCTACAGCTTCACTCTCACAGATCTTCTCATAAGTTAAGACAACAGGATGCTGTTACTAACGAGCCCCAATGCAGAAATGAAGCACACATAAAGAAGGTGTAGTTTCTGTGTAATTTGCTTTTAAAAAAATCGTTTTTAATTTTAATGCGGTAGTACTATTTTTATCATTCTGTTATCTGAGAGCGATAATGGCACGGCAAACAAGCAGACTGGATCAGAAAAAAATCTGCTGTTCGATCTGTTTGGATCTCCTGAAGGATCCGGTGACTATTCCCTGTGGACACAGCTACTGTATGAAGTGTATTAAAAGCTACTGGGATGAAGAGGATCAGAAGAACATCCAGAGTTGCCCTCAGTGCAGACAGACCTTCATACCGAGGCCTGCTCTGAAGAAAAACACTGTCTTGGCAGAGTTAGTAGAGGAGCTGCAGAAGACTGAACTCCAAGCTGATCATGGCTATGCTGGACCTAAAGATGTGGCCTGTGATGTCTGCACTGGGAGGAAACTGAAAGCCATCAAGTCCTGTCTGCAGTGTCTGGTCTCTTACTGTGAGCAGCACCTCCAGCCTCACTATGAATCTACTGCCTTTGAGAAACACAAGCTGGTGGACACATCAAAGAGGCTTAAGAAAATCATCTGTTCTCAACACAATGAGGTGATGAAGATATTTTGCCGCACTGATCAGCAGTGTATCTGTTATTTGTGCTCCATGGATGAACATAAAGGCCACGACACAGTTTCAGCTACAGCAGAAAGGAATAAAAAGCGGAGAGAACTTGGGGTGAGTCGAAAGAAAATCCAAGAGAGAATCCAGGACAAAGAAAAAGACATAAAGGTGCTTCAGGAGGAGGTGGAAGCCATCACTCAGTCTGCTGATAAAGCAGTGAGGGACAGTGAGAAGATCTTTAATGATGTGAAACAGCTGATCAGATCTCGTCAGAAAGCTGAAGTGTGTCGTGCAAGAGAGCTTCAGGACAGAATAGAGAATGAGATCACTGTGCTGAAGAGGAAAGATGCTGAGCTGGGGCAGCTCTTTCATACACAGGATCACACCCACTTTCTCCAGACGTACACCTCACTGTCACATGTGCATGAATCTGTTGGATCACTCGACATTAAAACATGTACTTTGCAGTACTTTGAGGATGTGATGACAGCTGTGTCAGAGTTCAAACGTAAAATACAGGAAATCCGTTTTGGCGCCGCAGTCTCACAGTTGGAGGGGAAAGTGGATGCAGTAATGTCTCGACCTGAACCCAAAACCAGAGCTGAGTTCCTCCGACTATCACAAGAACTAACGCTGGATTTTAACACAGCAAACACAAGTCTCTTATTTGAAGGGGACAAAAAAGTCAAATGTATGAGTAAAAAAATTTTATATAGTCATCACTCAGACAGATTCATCAACAGACATCAAGTCCTGAGCAGAGAGAGTCTGACTGGATGTTGTTACTGGGAGGTGGGGTGGAGTGGAGGAGCACTTTCAGTGGCAGTTTCATACAAGAATATCAGCAGAACAGGAGATGAAAGTCTGTTTGGGAACAATGACAGTTCTTGGGCACTGGAGTGTTTCAAAAATGGTTATGAACTGAGGCATAACAAAATCAGAACTGTCATTTCAGGCCCTCAGTCACCCAGAATAGGAGTATACGTGGATCACAGAGCGGGTATGCTGTCGTTTTACAGTGTCTCAAAGACCATGTCTCTCCTGCACAGAGTCCAGACCACATTCACTCAGCCACTCTACGCTGGATTTTGGCTTTATGTTGGATCGTGTGTTGAGCTGTGTGAGCTCAAGTAGTCTAGAAAAAGAGGTCTCTCCTAAAGAGGTCAGGCAAAATATATCCATTTCCTATTAATGCAGTCTGATATACCATTATTTCTTTCCTCATCTTTTACTTTTAACAAAGGAGAAATGAATGACAGTTGAACTTGTTGTTGGTTGCTAGAAGTTACATTGCAAAAGCCTGTAAAAGCACCAATTGTGAATTGGGAAGTTAAAATTTTGGACATGAAGCTAATGGATCTTACCATTGTCATGTTCTTAGGAAATTAAAGATGATAAGTTTTTGTCATTTTAATTTATTTTCTTTTTCTATCTGTTTTATTGTTGGGATTTTTTTCTCTAGGACTGGGCATTGCAAAATAGCACAGATTATAAGTGCAGTGATGTGGCATGGGCCTGTGTTACTTGCTATAAAAATGAACAAAGAAATTTTAAAAAGTAATTAAAAATCTTTAACTGGAGGTGAGAAGACAGTGTGTCACAGCTTCCCCATTTAAGCAAAAACAAAAATTGCCTGAAATTGATTACCTCAGTAAGTGTGTGTGATAGAGATGACTTCAGATGTTGAGGAAGAACTCAATTGCACAAGGCACCTGGACTGTTAAGGACCCCCCCCCCCCGTGTCTTTGTCCTGTGTTTCTCTTAGGTCTGCGTCTCTGTGCTTCCTGTTTTATTTTGACAGTCAAGTGTTCTGTGCTCAGCGTGTTCACTTTTGCTTCCTCCTGTTTTGTCCTTATGTTTATTCACCCCAGCTGTGCTACCCATGTGTTTCCTCTTCCCTCTTCATCCCTCTGTGTATTTATGAGGTCCCCATGTTTGTTGTCCGTTCGTCTGTTAACCTTTCCTGCATCTCCATGTTTCATGTACTCAGTTTTTCCAGTTCAGGTTTTATGTTAGTTTCTCCCCTGGTTATTTCCTTTGTTTGGCTTGTGTTTTGTTCTTAGCCACAATAAAGGCTCGTTTTTTATTAAAGTTCAGTTCTGCCTTGTTCATCTGCATTAGGGTCCTCACACCACAACCTCCACGCGATCTTGACAATAATGATGCTCCAGGAAGAAATAAGGCAACTGTGCATGATATGAGTTAACCCTTACAGAGTATTTTGCAGGGAAGAATGTTTAAAAAAGACAAACTGAAGCACTCATAGCAAACAAAACTTGCTACTGACCATACAGTAAGTACCAACGCCAAGTCAATGGCTCTAGGGTTAGGATGATAGTTGGGACTTGGTTTACGCTCAGCCTATTTTGCAACGAGTTGAAAAATAAGAAATTCCTGTTTTAGATGTCTCTAAAAGAAAACCCAGTTCTCTCCTAACCGTGGACCGGTCTTGTAGTCTCAGATTTTGTTTCCTGTTGTCCATGAGTCCTCAGTGTCTATAAAGTTTTTTGAGTACTTAACTGCTTTGATTCTTGATACTTACTTTTGGATTTTTGGCTCTTTCATACAAAGGGCTTGCTTATTAATTTTTGGTTTGCTTGCATGTGCAATTGGTTTCTGTAAAAAAGAAAAAGAAAAAAGTAGAAGAAGCCTATTCCAGTTTGGCATGGCTTGATAAATTTCACAAAATTTAAAAAGTTAATGACAAAGATAATGTAAAAAGCTCTCATAAAAGCATAATGCTTCTTACCTAAAAGATCAAAATACAGTGTAACCCCGGCTTACGAATACCCCATTTAACAAAAAATTCAAGTTATGAAGGCACTTAACGGCAATATTTCTGCCTGTGGTACGGCAAAATGCCTGCATAACAAAATCCGCTGGCTGAGCCCAGAATGCCTTCTTGGTTTTCGTACTTGCGTTTCGCTGTTCCACACGAAAGACTGTCAAGAGATGTATTCTAAAGACACTTCTTCAGCTGAGAGTATGAGAGTAGAAACACACACACACGCTGCAGTTTTTACTTGCAAGGGCAGTCACAGCGCGCTAACACGAGAGTGGGGGCCCTGTGATGTGCGCTCTAATTTTGCTCGTCTTTATTTATATACAAGGGTAATACAATAGTGAATACGTCTGTTCGTAGACAGAGGAATGTTTGTGCGTATGTAGGTGTGTGTGTGTGTGAGATTCTGAAGGAAGCGGCCCCTCTTCTTGTTAGGGAGTGAAGATAAGAGTGTTCAGCTCTTATTATTGCTGTGGGAAGAAACTGATAAAAGAGAACAGAACAAGTCTTGGAGTGAACAACAGTCTAAGTCATCAAAAGGTCAACATGCAGTATTCTATTATATGCAAACTTATATCATTAAAAGTTTATACTGACTACTAAGTACAATTCTCCATCGACAAAGACGTATTGTTGTTGCAGTGCTCTATTTTGTGTGCTTTTCATTTGCAATTAGCCTATCTTTCATTCATAATGGGGCCGAAAAAACTTAATGCAAGTGATTCGAGTGAAAAGAAGAAGCGTAAAGTGCTCTCGATGGAAACAAAGAGAGAAATTATTGATAAATATGAGCGAGGTCCTCCTCCACCAAGAACTTTGTCTTCAGCCAGCATCGCCTCACTCATAAGGCAATGGAAAAAGGTGCTTCGACTTAACGAAGATTTTGCCTTACGAAAGACCCTGTGGAACAAATTCCTTTCGTAAGTTGGGGTTCCACTGTACATGGAATCCTGACATGCGTCTTTTCCATACTGTCCTTTTTTGGGGGATTAGTATCTTGAAACATTGATCTGTCTGAGATTCTGCCTAAAGACAAGCACTAGACTTTTGGTTTTTAAGCTTTGACCTGTTTTCCGAAACCCATCAAAATACCAACATCAGCTCTTTTTTTATTTATTTGCTAAAGTTGTTTTGTACTATCAGCACATACATAAATTCTACTATTATCTATAATCTATATATATTGCAATGTGTGCATTTTTTAAGAAACTTGGCAGGTCATTGATAAATATGGATTATAATTGATGCCTAAACAGCTATCATGAAGAATTTCACATTGAAATGATCTGAAGCTAACTGTGTACATTTAGCCACAGTTAGCTTCAGAGAGACAGAGAGGTGATCTGATATCTGGAGATTTTTATCCTCAAAATGTGCCTCCAAGAAAAAAACCTCCAAGCTTTTAAAATCCTACTGATATTTAAAAAAATAATTACTTTGTCTTAGAAGAGTGTAATTAACATAAAGTAATTTAAATAATGTTCTTACTATTTTAGAAAATTAAACTAGTTCACATAACTGTTTTTGAGAGGTGAAACGACGCAGCAAGGAATTCTGTGGACACAGCTACTGTATGAACTGTATGAAAGGAGAAAGGACTGAAACGGCAAAAAGAGGTCAACTCAAGTCGTGAAAAAACTCAGGAGAGAATCAAGAACAGAGAAGGAGATGTGATGGTGCTTCTGCAGGAGGTGGAGGCCATGTCTGCTGATAAAGCTGTGAGGGACACTGAGAAGACACTTCAACAACTATTCCTTCTCATCAAGAAAAACATTTCTCATATCCAGTAACAGATCAGATCCCAACAGAAAACTGAAGTAAATCGAGCCAAAGAGCTTCTGGAAAAACTGCAGGAAGAGCTCAGTGAACTGAAAAGAAAACATGCTGAACTGGAACAGCTCTCTCACACAGAGGATCACACTCAGTTTCTACACATGTTCCCTTTGTTCTCAAATTTTACTGAATCTACAGAGATACCTTTTACTAAACACCATCCTCTGCTGTACTTTGATGATGTGCCGGCTGCTGTATTAGAGGTGAAAAATAAACTGCAGGATGATCTTCAGGAAGGATGGCAAAAAGTTTCCCGCACAGTGACTGATGTAGACGTGTTGCTACCTCAACCAGAGCCCCAAACCAGAGCTGAATTCTTAAAGTTTTCAACTCAGCTCACACTGGATCCAGACACTGTAAACATGTGACTGCTATTATCTGAAGAGAACAGAAAAGCAACATTTGTGAGTAAAAAAACAGGCATATCCAGGTCACCCTGAGAGATTCATGAACAGGTCTCAGGTTCTGAACAGAGAAAGTCTGACTGGACATCATTACTGGGAGGTAGAGTGGAGTGGGTTTGGTATTTACATAGCAGTTGCATACAAAAGCATAAGCAGAATGGGAGATCAAAGTGAATTTTGGGCATAACAATGTTCGCACAAATATGAATTCATTTATGACAAATACTTTACATCTATGTCAAGCCCTCCATCTTACAAAATTGGAGTGTAACTGGATCACAGAGCAGGTATTCTGTCCTACAGCATCTCTAAAACCATGACTCTCCTCCATTCACTCAGCCGCTCTATGCCGGATTCAGGGCTAATCACTTCTTAGGTGAAGGCTCTTCTGCTGTGTTCTGTGACCTTGAGAAATCAGAAGCTGCTATGGAATGAACTGGAATTATTCTCCTTTCAGTTTTTAATTACTCGCCATTGTTGCTTCTCTAGCGGTTTGCATGGGCTGACTTGTGATGATGCTGTTTCTGTTTTCTGTAGATGCCATTTTCTTTATAATCCTTATACTTTCTTCTTAATCTTACCTTACAGGGGCAATAACCTAGTTTTACTTGAGTTTTATTTAACTATTCTAAATCTGGTTGGTTTATTCTAATGAATTGGTTCTAACATCATTATTATCATCACAGTCAGATATTGATTTTGCTTACTTTTACATTTTCCTTGTGCAGTTTTCAGTTAATCGGTTTAATAAATAGATGCAATGCTGCTTTCACTGCATGGACCTGTATGGATCTAAGTGTAAAACTAGGTGTCGCAGATAGTTTCATTTATTTTCATTTTTAACAATGCAAATGAATTCAAAAATATTACAATGATATAATGTTCATCAAATCATATGTTCATTAAATAAATGTATATTTCAATATATTTAACCATATTTTAAACATATTTAGTACATGAAAAGTCTATTGTTCTTCCAGTGTTGTAAATAATTGAAAATTCTGAAAAACAAGCTAGCTGTAATTGCTGTAGCTCAATTATAACTAGCTTGTCTATACCATGTCAATAATTGGTAAAGTCACTTTTCTAATAACAAATGCGTTACCAAAATAACTGTTTTTCAAAACATATCTCTTGGGGACAGTGACAGTGAAGGCGATGGGGCACGTTCTGTGGCCTAGCTGGGGGCCAGCAACAAAGCAGGAGACTGACAGTGCTGACAACAAGGAAGGAGACCTTCTATAGAGTGGCATCATTGAACATATCAGAATCACAATCACAAAACTTTATTAACCGTTATGAAAGTATGTGGTTACAGTTCAATTCCATTTTAATTTTTACAGCGCCAAATCACAACAACAGTTGCCTCAAGGTGCTTTATATAGTAAGGTAGACCCTACAATAGTACATAAACATTTCTAGCAGTGCTTCACAAACAGGGAACAGTCTGTCAATAGAGATTGAAAATGTGACGTCATTCAAGGGTAAAACCGCAAAGAATTCTGGGAACTCGTGGCAAGAGGTACTAGCGCACGCAGGCTTTCAATT